CTACGACGCTCCGTTTTCAAACGCCAAGGGGGGGTCGCACCAACCCCCCCTGCATGGGCGAAGGTGGCAGATCGCCGTTTACGGGCGAGGGTTAATAGCTTGGAGTGGGTTTTTTGAGCCTCGTGACGATCGAATAAGGGCCAGGGCCCCATGCACCTATGGAGATTGGAGGCCCATCGGTTGTTTGAGGGGAAGGGGGCAAATGATATGATGGCCCCCTTTATTGGCCTTTGGGGGGCATGGCCCTGATGCCTCTCCCCCTCCCCCACGCGACCGCCACTGTGTACACATTACACACAGGCCTCTGAGATTGCATACTAGCTCATGCAAACTCTATGCAGGCCCCGGAGGTCCCACGCTAATCCTTAAGAAACCAAGCCGGCATACGGCGTCACCACCGGGCTTCTGAGGTGCACCGCACCAACCCATGAGGTCTTACTTTAGTGTCGTAGAGCCACGCTCATTTGGCAGGGCCCACCCGCCACTGCCGAAGAGGGTCTCATGCCTGATGCCAGCCATTGCTGGGCCTACGAGAGGCTCAAGTAAACCCACGCTGATATTCCATATAAGATCCGGCCTTACTCGTGAACCGGTGCCAGCGACGCTGACCGCCAAATTGACAGAATGCGAAGCTGAGCCCACTCATGAGTAGAATTTACGTTCTTTGATGGCGCAAGAAAGAAAATGAAACATACAAAAAGCTTTCTAGGACTTTTGTTCGATCTGAAAGGTGGGGCCAAAAGATAGTATGGCCCCACCTTTCAGCACCAAAGGGGGGGCCATGGCCCCCGTGCCCCCCCCCCCCCCCTGGGACCGCCTATGAGCCAGGGCCCCGGTAACGTGAGGTAGCCGAGTCGGGGCAGCGTGCGCTGACCCAAGCCGGGGCCGCGGCTTTGGGCGCAGTCTACCGCATCCCCGCGGGCAGCCCCGGGCTATCACATGACACCGGGAGGACGCGCGGCCCCGGCTTGGGTCAGCGCACGCTGCCCCGACTCGGCTACCTCACGTTACCGGGGCCCTGGCTTTGGGCGCGGTCTACCGCACCACCTAACAGGCGTGTTCGAAACCGCAGGAGATGATGATGAACGGGTTTATCGAAACTTGATTGGATGAGCCTATCGGTAATAGCGATTCCAGTGTGTGCATTTATTGTTCATAGTGGTGTGAAATGTGGTTGGGGTACGACCGACAACCCGTCGAGGCGAATTTCGCACTGGGGTACTCAAAATTTGAAGAATTTGAGACGTTTCCATGAGTTTTGAAGGTATGGATAAGTTTTAAAAATCCGGTTCTCCTTATCTGGGCCATTAACTCCATACGGTCCAGGAAAGCTGGCACACTACCTACCTTTAAATTATACTTCATTCGATACGTCTTGACGAGTCGAGAGATACAGGATGCAGGTAAAATAAATGTCTATGAGTAGACAATTATAAGAAAATAACGTTTTCCGCGGAAACATCGATTTTGACGGATTTTGCCCTCTGAAGGCTACGCCGTTGATCCTCGTTCAAATATGAGAACATTGTTCCGAAAGAGCTTAAACTGACCATCATGTGCGCTTTCCCGCGGTGATGTAGCTCTATTCGTTCCGAGCTATGCGTCGATTTGTCAAAAATTGTCGAAAAGCCGAAATCTGATCTTTGATGACCTGGTGATCTGACCTTTGACCTGACCTAGAAGTGAACGAAGTACTTTCATCATCATTTTTGACGCTCTTCATAACCTTTGACACTCTTACGAATACCGCTGACCGTGTGTCGCTGCGTGGCCTAGGACCCAAACTAGACGGGGAGATTTCAAACACCCCCCCCCCTTCGTCACATCGCGGGTCCGACACGGGTTAATTTGTTGGTTGTCAACCAAAATCATCGGTTTTTGACCAGGTGAATGAAACAGGTAGCGACCACACGGAGTCTGTTAGCATAATCTGAGGGAGTGATGCCATCAGAAAGTGGATCGGCGCCGCCATTGGCTTACTATGTAAGAGGCTCCTAATATAGACAAACCGAGAATACGTCGAACTCTAGTATCCATCCACAGTGGCAAAAAAGCGAAAGTGGGCATTTTGGACAACAAATTTTTACCTAACGTGGCCACACTGAAAGGAAGGTTAACCTATGGTCAACCCGCGCCCCGCTGCGGGTCCTAGATTTCCACACCCGGCTGGGCGGGGGGAGTTTGAAATCCCCGCCCTCTAAAGCCAGAAAACAGACTCTTTCCGCATTCAGGAAATCGCATGCGAGGCCTATTCAAATACATGGAAGCACGCTCGCACCAATCGCACGCACCTCCCGCAAGTGATTGATGCGAAAAGAATTACAATGTATTTGAATAGGCTCTCGCATGCGATTTCCTGAACGCGGAAAGAGTCTGTTTCAGCCTTAACTCGGCTCCTGGGCCACGTAGCGATGCGTGAAGGCAGCGTTCGAAAGAGCGTCAAAAATAATGACGAAATTACTTCGGTCACTTTCTTGGTCAGGTCAAAGGTCAGGTTACCAGTGGTTATTGAAGGCCAAATTTCACCGATTTTCAGGTAGAGTGTCGACAATCTGCAACAAGCCAACGCACAACTCGGAAACTCTTAGAGCTAGAGCGCCCCGGAAAAGCGCATTTGATAGCCCTATTAACCCGGCAGTTGCTGGGGTATTTCGCCACCCACCATTTGCTGGGGGGGGGGGGGGCGTTAAACGCCCCCAGCAGATAACTCGAGAACCAATAGGCGCAGCGAAACGCACGAGGCGGCAAACGAAAGAGCGCGACGAGACGCTTCAGATGAGTAGTTAAAAGCTGAATTTTGAGGTCACAGGTCGGGTCAAGGTCAGGTCAAACACCTGAAATCGGGCTTTCAGTAGCATGGACTTCAGGACTTCGCAATGGGCGCCTCTCGTCATAAACTCTGTCAAAACGGTGCACAATCCATCATATAAGGCCTACAAGAGTGTCAACTCCATGTAGGGGTCAGTCAAGCATAGGTCAGGGTCAAGGTCAGGTCAACCGGGTAGGCACATATCCCCGAAAATCAAAACTGATATTCGCAACCTGTGACACATGTTTTATAGGTAATTTGGGGCGTAGAACACGATGGTGACATTCATTTTATCATATGTGTACGTGTTTGGCTCAAAAAGTTCAATTTAAGAAATGCGTGTATCATGGTCGTGAAGTAGTCACGAAAAATTGCCAAGATTCAGTTCAAGATTATGGAAAATGCGGAACGATAATCAATAATCGAAGATAGTCATTTGATTGATCACGGTATTGGCAGTCTAATGGCGTTTACGGCTTGTCTGTTTGTCTATTCTGTGATTTTATATGATTTTTTGAACATATGCCGTTTTTGGTCGAAAACTCAGAAATCATGACGTCACTAAAACCTCGATATCTCAAAAATTTTCCGACCGATTTTTTTGAAACTTTGTCACAATAAACTTCAATCAATTCCCTACAGGTACCCAAAATTTGGCGCGCCTGCGGCGCGCCGTTTTTATGCTATGACCCGGCGAAAAAAGTGGGGGCGTTTAACGCCCCCCCCAGCAACTCGCGGGTTAACGCTCTTTCTGGGCATTTCGCTCAGTTTAGACCTAATGTCAACGGGTTTGCCTGCAGGGGCAAAAACTGCTATAAGACGATTTTTTTCTTCGGAGTTTTTTTCTGCAATAGCCTTTGACTTCAACTTTGCACAAACTTACTTTTACCGGCATCGTGTTCCTCTCGTCAAGACCCATCGATGATCGAATGAACCATAATTTGACATCGAAAGGTCAACTTGAAAATCTGACCTCAGGTCAAGGACATGACCTGACCCGAAAGAGTCATGTTGCATATCAGTCGATCCGTATCGTCAAGCTGAACACATCTAAGGCGTTTTCATCGCTCTAGCATGCCTCTATCAAACGTTATTTGCGAAAAACTGTTAGATACCATTCGTGACCTGAGATGACCTCAGGGGCATAAACAGGGGTCACGGATGCCATTTCCATGCTCAGTGTGTCCTAGTTACTTGTAATTAAGTGTTTGGGAGTGGTTCGAATGACGTTCGCCCAAAAGAGGCGCCTTTAAACTTTTTCCCATTGACGGCCTACGAGGAGGTCGCAAAACTGATCTGACTTTTGGTCACCGATACCGAAATTCCGAGATATGCATTTTGGGCATACTGTTGCTCTTATCAATCGCTGAAAGTTTCAAAGCAATCGGTCTCTTGGTGGTGTAGCTATGGCAGACATTGAAACTTTTTATGAGGTGAGGCCACTTGAAATGATTTGGTGACCTGACCTTGAGTGATCTCGGTCTGAAACTTTCATAACATGTACATAAAAGATGTGTGATAAGGTGCGCCAAAAACAGTGGCGCTCCGCGACGCCGTTTTTTGAGATAGTTGCGAAAAATCACGGGGGGTGTTCTCCAGCAACCCTCCCCCACAGCATGGCGCAGGTTAACTGTCAACGATGGGCGTCTTAGGTTGGGAGCGTTGCCCGTCCATGTGTTGTGATTTGCGCGCGACTGATCAAACATATTCGAGCCATTCTCGGTTTGTCGAAATAAGAATATATGTATATACACAGCAGTTGGCTCGTAGTCAGATGGAGAATTGGGAGTCTCATTGCAAAAGCCTGCATGTCCTGGAACTCTGCACAGATGCCCAACAAAATTCGCGCCTCGTTTGAAGTTTATGATGGGGACGGGACAGTCCCGACAAAAGTATGCCTCCTGATGAAATAATAAACAAGGTGAGCACGAGCAAACCAGACTGGTAACGACTCACCCGTCAAGGACCTTTGCAAAAGGCGCCAGTACCAGAACGAACCGGCCGTCGGCTGTGATATTATGTCGCGCTATTATCACTGGACATTGCTGATGGTAGTTTTGGAGCATTGTTATCGAGTCGTGTCTCTCCAATCGTGTTTTTTCCTGTTTGTCTTCACTTTTAGATTCTGTGGTTAGGAAGGACATGGGCGTCAGCTCCTCTCAGCCAGCTACCACACCCCCAAACGTCAATCCGTGTTTCATCGTTCAGTGGTATTCGATCCCGGGTTACAGCTAACGGAAGCAGCGACACGACACCATCCAAGCTGACATTGTTACAGCTCGCCAATAAGGCACAGGTCATCACACAGATCACACCGACTCTGACAAACTCACAGTGCGCGTCAAACCGACTGACAGGCATCGCCAGTGGTTGCCATCGCGAGCGCTTATAAACTTGCTACGCTCCACACAGGCAAGCACAATGCACATTGCACGGCATACGCGGACAAAAGCGTGGAACAGTGCAACAAACACTTCTCTCAAATATTGCAATATCGGACTTGGGAAGACATTGAAAGAGCATGTCCACACGAATGTAAGCGCGGCTTCCTTCTTTCATAATGCAATGATCCTCAATGAAACTTGCACTACGACGCAAACTGTATACGGATCATTTTCACGTCCGTCCGTCCGTCCGTCCGTCCTTTCCTTTCCGTCTCGGTCTGTCAACTTGTTTGTCCTTACGCCTACCCATATTTCCGTTCCCGTCTCAGTCTGCTAGTTATCTCGTAAGTTCGCTCGTCCATCCGTCCTATCGTCTCCGGCATTGTCTGCCAGTTTGTCCGTAAGCCCGTCAGTCTTTCTAGATTTCTGTCCGTGCGTCAGTCTGTGTTGTTGTCCGCCTCGTTTGTCTCCTACGTCCTATAGCGCGTGGTTTGGTGAGGAGCGGTAGCCCGTTTCCCTGGACTGTCGCTCCCGGTCTTACCCTGGCCACATATTACAGACAGGATAGTCCCGGTATTGTCATATCACAGCCGCTCGCTCCCGCCCGTTCCGCTCCGCACAACTGGCGGTGAACGGCCCCGCTAGCATTAGGGGCATCCCGTCCAGCTTCTCCGGCACTGGAAGCGTCTCAGCCAGACATCTCTGGCACTGGGAGTACACTGAAGGACACCTCCGGCACTGTAGGTGTTTTCCGTACGGCACGATACGCACACGCGCACTTGTTCTTCCACCGTTCTTTCAACCACCACAAACCCAATGACTGGTTGGGTTCTCTATCTCCTACCGATCTATAATCTAAGGTCGACTGGTCTTCAGTTACATAAGGTTGCAGCTGGGTTGGCAGCTTCTATCCATTAGCATTGGTCACAGGACGGTGTGTGTATGTGTGTATGTTATTGTCTCATGAATGAGGTGGTGCGGATGCTGGTAACGAAACATCTCGGTGATTCATCTATCTGATAAGTCGGCTGGTCGATGGATTGCTAAGGGTTCATAACGCCTGGATTGCTAAGGGTTCATAAGTGCCGAAAGCGCTGATCATTATCAACAAAAAGGACGTGGAAAGCATCCTGGGTCAGTTCACGCTTTATCCATGCCACCTTCGTAGTGTAGATCAAGTACTTATTGTGACTCGGGCACCTAATCATACCGCGGTTGCTGTCTTATCGGCTATTCAGTTTATAAGGGGACCTGTTCCGTCCCCATTTCGGCCGACGATCGCGCCCTCCATCTCTGGTGTCCTCCGGCCGGTACCAATTTCCGACAGCACCTGTTCAGATGTCCTGCTGGAGCCCGTGCGCCGCGCTGCCGATGATGTAGCTGAGCACCGACACGTGTAGTTTGATTTTCTGCCACTGTGCGGCGCGCCGGTCGGCCGGCAGCCGGTCCAGGTCGTGCAGCAGATCCACCAGACCGGGGAACACCACGCCCGAGTAGCCGTCCGACGAACTCGGCGAGAAAATCACGTGACTGCCGACACAGAGAGAGAAGGAAGGACGATGGTGTCAGACAAGAACGCGAAACATTTTAACGGCAAACTTCAAGGTGAAAGTTACTGTCGTTAGGATCAGCAACACTAAAAATTGTTAACGCTAAAAGCCCAGCACACATGAAACACAAACGGAAGTTTGAAGCTATGGGGACATCTGACACTCACTTGTAGTCGGGCCGGTCGGGCAGGCCGCGGGGATCCAGGAAGGACCGTTCGACACCCATCAGAATATCATTGGCCTGCCGCACCGCCAGCGGGCTGCAACAGAGCAAAGGGCACCAGTGAGGGGCGTCGGAGACCGAACAGATAGTAGCTGACGGGGAGGTGCTGCGATAGCGTCACTCGGTCACCATGGCAACGGGCCAACGAGAAGCCCTGACAGCTTGGTGTCAGCTAGGATTATATATTCCCGACCGGGGCTGGGAAAATGCGTTTTATTCACCGAGGTTTTTGTGCGGAGGACCGAGTGCCGGTAGGCACGAGGTCCGTAGCAAAAAAACCGAGGTGAATAAAACTGCATTTTCACAGCCCAAGGTTGGGAAGAGATTTACCCACGGACGTATAAATCAGGGGGTGTCGAAGTCTAGTAGGAAAATCTGGCAAATTCCCTGCGTGACGTCACGTCGGGGATGACCGACGGCACCTTGCACTGAAAGATACGGCAGAACGGCTATTTTTGAAAAATGATTAAAAATACTTTTGTGCTGTTATGACGCATAAAACGCTTATCAGCATGTTCCTCATCATGTGATAAAGGCATATCCGTGGTCGAAAATAGCTGAGCCCCTCCCAATTTCTAACCACCGACCTCATAAGCAAAGGATGTAAGCGTAATCCTTAAGGGCGACTTTCCTATACATATCCGTACATATGCGTCCTTATGGAAATCGGTAGTGTGGCGATTGGCGACGCGCGCGACATCTGTGTGGCGACCAAATGGCGACTGTGGCGACACCTGGTGGCTGCTTTTCTGCTGTATGTAGGCATTGGGGTTTTGCCAGATGTGGTTCCTACTGCTACACCACTATGTTGACCCAATACTAGAAAAGTTATTTTGCTAGTAAAAGGCAAGCAAATTGAAAGTTGATTTATAAAATTGCTTATAAATGATTACGAGATAATAATAAAGAAATTTTGATTGAATAATTATTTAAATAATCAACCGTGAAACTATATTCTGGTAGGTTTAGTAGAAATAAGTCCGTGCAACCTTGTATTTAGGGCCTTGGTATAAATAAACTGGACCCGCAACCACCTCCATTCAGGTGAAGCCGACAAGGCGCCATTTTACGTTGCCAAAAAACCGTGTTCTGGAAGGTCATCGAGCCAATGCAATTAGAATTGCGTCCAAACGGATGATCGGATCGAGATGCTGGTGGTACCGTTCGACGGGTAATTCCTTGAGGCAGGTGATGATGGATGTCACATGTCACCCGGTGTCACATGGCGCGTGCCACGTGCCGACAAACTTACAAAGGGCAAAAACCTTTAAGCGACGCTTCAAATCAAACGAAGGGCGGCATAGGTGCCAAACTCACAGGTCACATGTCCCAGTGTTCGACCACTAACATATGGTATGCTCGGCATCAGGGGGTGCGGAATGCACGCGCTAGTGGCGAAAAACATGTTTTGAGGAGGCATCCTCCGATTCCGGAAAACCTTGACCTAGGAACACCAAATTTGGCACACTGACACTACTGGACACGCGACACTACTGGACATCAATTGCTGCACGTTTTAAGCCGATTGTATAGTCTGTGTAGCTATGACGGGCATTATAATTTTTCCTAAGGTAAGGCCGATTGGACGTAACCTGGTGACCTAACCTTGAGCGACCTAAGTCTGAAAGTTATGCAGCATTTGTGAAAAAGTTGTATGAAAAGGTGTGCCGAAAACGGCGGCGCTACACAACGCCGTTTTCCAGATATTTACATAAATCCACATAGGGTGTCCAAGCATCCCCACCGCCCGGCGCGGATAATTTTTTTGCACGTGCAGAGCGCACCTTTGGGGGCCACCAGGAGATGGATATGCTCAATAACTATGCTGGAATGCATTCTGGGTGGCCTGTGTAAATTTGGCACTTTGAGCTTGCCAGCGCTACCCGCCCTACCCGCATATGTGACACCTGGAGTGCAACATCAAAAGGTTTGCACGTGCACAGCACGTGCACCGTGTATCCCAGCACGCCTATTTGTACAGCACCTTAAAGCGCGTGTCCAGTAGTGTCAGCGTGCCAAATTTGGTGTTCCTAGGTCAAGGTTTTCCGGAATCGGAGGATGCCTCCTCAAAACATGTTTTTCGCCACTAGCGCGTGCATTCCGCACCCCCTGATGCCGAGCATACCATATGTTAGTGGTCGAACACTGGGACATGTGACCTGTGAGTTTGGCACCTGTGCCGCCCTTCGTTTGATTTGAAGCGTCGCTTAAAGGTTTTTGCCCTTTATAAGTTTGTCGGCACGTGGCACGCGCCATGTGACACCGGGTGACATGTGACATCCATCATCACCTGCCTCAAGGAATTATCCGTCGAACGGTACCACCAGCATCTCGATCCGATCATCCGTTTGGACGCAATTCTAATTGTATTGGCTCGATGACCTTCCAGAGCACGGTTTTTTGGCAACGTAAAATGGCGCCTTGTCGGCTTCACTATCTTCCATAGGAGGTCCATTGGGATTGTCAGTCCAGTTTATTTATACGTCCGTGGATTTACCACATGCCGTACCGGCGCAACAGTTAATATCATATTCATTTGATATTTTACACTTTAATCTTAATATTGTGTTAATATTATATTAATACTATGTTCATATTTATAGTCACCGTGATTATTTGTTTGTGTTTTTCATTATTAGGCTGCGTTGAGTATGAAAGATGAAATTCCTACTTCCCCCTTATTTTGGGTTTGAAAAAGCTGAAGATGAAGATGGTGAAACGCCAGAAGTTAGAATAAAGATATGGAGTCCAGCAGGAGTGAGGAAACCGTGAGGAAAACTAAAAATTGGGTGAAACGCTGAATCAAACGCGTCTTGGATCCAAGCTTGGATCCCAGCTGGAACAATATCAAATGTTTCATTGTGGCACGTTAAGATGCTTCACGCATTTAAATTGTTTTTTTTTTTGCGTGCATTATGTAGAAATAATGATTATTCCGATCCGACCATGTTCTGCAGCAATAAATACATTGGCATTGGAACGATAATCTTGTTTAGTTGAATTACGTTGACAGCAAAAGTATGTAAACACGCAGTCACTTACTTTTGCTGTTGCTGTTAGTGAACACACAATCCGTAAATAACTTCTTTGGAATTGGTTCTTCCGCTCAGAATATTCAGTAAAACTTTGTCTGGGAAAATCAAAAAGCCCTAGGGCCGAATCGTTTCCCAAATACCTTCAACATTAGCCGAGGCGGGCCGAAGCCATTTCCCAAATGCACGTGCTAATGTTAAAGGGATATCTCGGCATGTGGTAAAATGATACTAAAAAGCAAGATATCCTAAAGAGTTGTGAAAGCGACAGCCTTCTGTAAATCTGTAGTGACACGACGAAAAAGTCCTACGCTCACCTAGAATACAAACCCCTGTGTAACGTGCAACTCACTCGTCCAGATCCAGCTGTCGAAGAAAGTGCTCCTGGAAAGTAGTGGCCGCCTCAGCGAACTCCTCCACGGCCGCCCTGACGTAGTCTGCCGGCGGAGGAGGGCGCAGCGGTCGGTCAGAGCAGGAGGGGGAGGGGAAGACAACCACTCGGGAGGGCTGGAGGCTGCGGCCAATTGGGGGAAAACTGAAGGGTTTGTTGACACACATGATATCGTTTCAGTATATCAAAGAGAGTGTAGCTGATACAGTAGATGTTTACCATGGAAAATATCATTACGCCCAGAGTACAGTAAAAATGCCAAATCTAAAACAACAAGATATGGTGGCTGTGCTGTCTGCGGGCACTGGCCACTCCGCCACGAGCGGTCAGTTGGCCTACTCGCGCTCGCGCCCGGCGCCGGAGTAGGCGGCCGGGCAGTCGGTAGTGGTACTGACCGGGCTTGGTGCAAGCACGACGGAAATATAACAATGGGACTACGTTCTTTCACTACAATGCGAGGCCACAAAGGCATGAATATAACCACCAGTCAATTAGGTACCTACTTACATTTAAACGCCAAGAATATCTTTGCAGAGGCTACCTCTTCTCCCAGGTCCATGACACTTGGTAGCAGCCATTACAGCTGTAGCAAAAAATGACACACACGCAGGTAATTCGTTCAGTCGCCTCTCAACTCACCGAGTGTGACGCCATTCTGCCTCAGTCGCGGTCCGAAGCGGGCCTCCAGCACACTGAACGCCTCCTGCAGGAAGGTGCCATAGCGCACCACGCCGAACGGTAGCACCGGGTCGTCCGCCAGCCTGGTGGACACAGAGCGGTGAGGGAGCGGTCACGGAGGGAGGCGGGTACAGTGTAATGCAGAGAAACTAGTGGTGTAGGCCGGCTGATCACCGGCACGGTCGTACCATAACAAATAGCTTCTCATGCCGTATTGAGCAGCACTCAACTCCCCACCGAAATCGCACGTGGCTACACTCAGCTCCCAACCCCTTGTCCGTGAAGGTCTTCCCTTGGTCATTTTTCTCCTTTCTTCCTCCACTATCCGGCCCTTCCCCCCCCCCTCCTCACCGTCTGGCCATCTCTCCCCACATCTGGGCCACGGCCATGGTAAAGTGCAGCCCCTCCCTCCCCTCCTCTCCTTTCCTTCCTTCCTCCCTCCCTCCCGTCCTCACCGTCTGGCCATCTCTCCCCACATCTGGGCCACGGCCGTGGTAAAGTGCAGCCCCCGGTCCTGCAGCTCTGTCACCATGTAGTACGTCTCGTAGAGCGTGTGGTACAGCGGGTATGACGAGCCAGAGTCCGTCTGACGACAGAGGACAAGCGCTTTGTAGCGGTAGGCTCTTTATCACGTAAGATTACTTAAGCCGTCATTAGCGTTTGACCTAGCACTAAAAATGCTACATTCTCCGAAACGCATCCGAACTTCACTCAGATTCACCTAAATAATTGAACGTTAAATTGTAGAATAGGCATCCTCCATGACATTTCAGTTGCCAGTACCTAGGTAGGTCAAAACTCTCGAAAATCCAAAGCAAGAAATGTCTAACAAACACTGCACATAACCATCGCATACTCCCACTATAAGCTAATGAACTTTCAATATCAGTCGGCAATCACCTCGATAACTTCTATTCATTTAATGCAAGACATTTTGCTTGGTTAATAAAGAGCGTGCAAAGAGTGTGATGCAGAAAAACGTCGTCGGCTGTAAAACGTGGGAAGAATAATTACACCGGAGTTGAAAGCATGCTTTTGAAACCTGGGGGTGAACACTAAATCTGGAGCCAAAAATCATACGGTACGGTTAGGTGGGTGCGTGCGGTTTTCTTTGGCTTGGCGCTGATTTAGCTGATATAAATTTGGGGCACGGGAACACTTTCTTTACACTATGAAGCACATGCACAGCCCAGAAAAGTAACACCATGCCTGCGCGAATACCCAGATATCATGCCGACCAGCTGCAACTACTCATATAAAATACAGCACGCAAACTGACGCACACAGCGAGCCCCTTCACCTTCTGAAAGTACCGGTGGTCCGAACTGGGCACGCCCTCGACATGCAGGAACTGCTTATAGTCGCTGCCGCGGCCGGGTAGCGTGACCCTGCGGGGCGGGGTGGACAGTTAGTCAAGCGTGCGTCTCTAACGGCCGGTGTGTGAGCGGGGAGGGGGTGGCGGGGCGCGCGGGACCACTCACGTCGTAGGCCAGGTCGGCCGACGGCACGCCCTCGTTGTGGATGAAGCCCTTAAAGTCACTGCCATCTCCCGGCAGCTCCAGTCTTAGGAGGCCGTCAGGGTGGGCGTGGTTAATACGGCACGGGTGGGCGGCTCAACAGACAGCGCTCACAGGGACCTAACGCGATCCCGCCTACACAATGGCAGCTGGCAGATGTAAAACACATTGCTGTGTCTTATCAGTGAAATTGTGCTGCTAAATACACACAAAAAAAAGTTGCGGAAACGATACCGTCTACCAAAATTAACCTGATAACTTTCTTCATAATTGACGCGAGCCTCTTGACAAACTGTTCACAAGCTCCCACTTTGGCACATGAATAACATATTAGTTTACCAATCAACACCAGTTCACGAAAACCTAGCTTTGTGTTGGTGTGTTTCGGAGACAGGTACTAGGTAGTGATATTACACAAACCTACCCCCGTCAAAAACTACCCTCCCTAATATGGGACTCACTGAACCGCCTCTGAACCCTCCCTCCCCTCCAGTCTGTCCGACTCACCGGACCATATCTGAAATCTCCCTTCCCCTTCTCCCACTCACTGCGGCCGCCCGGTGGCGTTGTCCAGCCGGTGCAACAGCCACGTGTCATACACGGTGGTGCGGCCGGCGGCCACTTCCTCCGGGTCCGGGTTGGGCACCGTCCGGGCAGCGGCGAACAACAGGTCGTGTAGTAGTGGCACACCCAGCGCGCGCAGCGTGTCGTTACCTGACGAGGCAACCGCGGAGAACCGAGTTGGATGTAAGAAAAAAACTCTATTCCCCGGCAGGGTTACAATTTCGCGTTTTAAATACATGCTCCGGCACATGGAAATCAAGTTTTTGTTAATAATTAATTAAAATGTAGTGAATTCAAATCATCATCTATGGTGCTTGCAGCCGGTTGCTATAAAATCCTGAAAGTGAGAATTCCTACATTGATCCGAGTTGTCGGCCAAATCACCTATGATGTGTCAAGAGTATGCATTACTAAAACATAAATTGTCATCATCTGCACGCATTCAATGTCGTAATCCGTGTCGGCTCGGGTCACCCACCGTTGATGGTGAGGTCCACGTTCAGGTAGGCCACGGCGCGGGCGGCCAGCTGCTGCCGGCGGTGTTGGACCCACTCAGTGGAGCCGACCAGGCCGTACTCCTCGGCGCCCCAGCTACAGAACACGAGCGAGCGGCGCGGCCGCCAGCCTGCGTCACAGAGGGAGACACGTGAGCATCGGCCGCCAGCCTGCGTCACAGAGGGAGACACGTGAGCATCGGCCGCCAGCCTAGGACACAGAGGGAGACACGTGAGCAGCAGACACCAGACTGACACACATGGAGGGCCGGAGGGGGAGTGAGGGTGTGTCAGGAGCGGGTACCAGCCGTCAATCAGCGCCGGCAAAGTCAAGTCCAACAAGTGATACAGTGACAAGTGCTCAAAGGATAATTCTGTCTACTCTTCGACCTCAAATACGATTTGAAATTATCATTCAATAACGAGCATAACAGCCATATTTGTAAGTATTTTTACGACAATCACCATTCATCGCGACACATAAAGGGGTCCTTCATCACCCAGAACCGAGAACCATCTCTTCCTAGTTGCAACCGACTAAACATTTCCCCCATACAACGCTGCTGCCCGTGCCCTTCCACACCTACCAGTTTCCTTTCTCAGGTTAGCCAGTACCCGGGTGAGCTCCAGCATTGCGGCAGTGCCCGAGGACGGGTCGATGGCCCCCAGAATCCAGGCGTCCCGGTGGTTCCCCACCAGCACGTACCGGTCTGTGTGGGGAGCGATGAGAGGGTCAGACAGGAGGGCTGTATAACAGATGAGGGAGGAGCAGTCAGTGTCATTTGAGAGACGAAATTAGTTATGGCGAGTGACACGGTTCTGTGCTGAGATATAGATCTGCGAGCTAAGTATTACAACAAATCAAAGCAGAATATGTGAAATTTCTTGCAAAATAGCCACTAATCGTCGTCCAGCTTATCCGCTCCTCATATCAACAACACCGTACTGCCTGTACTGTATTGTCCTGAACTCAACTGTACCAAGTAGCACTAAGACCAATCAAACAACTTGTCATTTCAATAACCTCTTTCAATAAAAGTATTCACAGAGGCGTGATTCTACACCTCATCCCTCCCCATTACAGCCCGCCAGCGCAGCCTCCGCTCCCTCACCCCGCGCGCCCGTTGCGCCACCCGCTCACCCACCCGGCTCCTCGTATCCGCGCAGCGTGGCGATCACGTTGGTGGCGTTGGCCCTCTCTCCGTGTGTGTGGATGTCCATCAGAACGGTCCAGCCGGGCCGAGCCGGCCCCGGGCCCAGGCCGTAGGTCAGGTTCAGCCCGCCCCACCAGTCAGCGGGCGCCGCGGCAGTCGGCGGCATCAGCCTGGGAATGGTTATGACGGTTACTTTATGGGGAAGGCTGAGATCCTGAGGTTGGATCATGCAGCCAGAATGTAGCAAAATCATATAACGTCTATAAAAGTGTTCACACACTATATTGATACAGATGAAACAAGGACACTAAAAAGTAAAACGAGTGTGTATGACAGCATCATCACGGATCATTGATAAATGAGACCACATCTTTGCAAACATTAAACGGACTGTCCAGCCGCGGTATCAAGCAAACGAATGCATACGCCTGCCAGTCTCAGCGGCACTGACTTGAGGATCTGGTAGGCGTCGTCAGCGCTGATGGGCTGCACCGGAATCCTGGGCAGCTCGGCCTCGGCCTCCGACAGACGATAGGCGCTCTCTGCCGGCACAGGCGGACACACATCGGATCGGGAGGTAAAGACAGAGTCGAGATACGCGGAGGCGAGACAGCGCAGCAGGTAAAACATCGCTACAATCAGTCACGTAGTGGTGACGTAACACCTAACGTAAAGGCCGGCAAAGTGTCTCATGCATTGAGTTAAGTAGACCCTAAAAGCCATTCATCTTAACCCATTAAAACCACCAAGAGTTTCACATAGCTGCATTCTTGTCCAAGGCCCGGCTACCACATGTTCCATGGATGATCCTGTGCTCTCGAGCGCTCTAGTGCCCCTTCCCCCCTCCCCTCCCTCTGTTGCCACGGTGTTTGCCATCACGATATCCAACACACGCACTCACCCAGTGACGGGTAGATGGGCGTCAGCGGGTCTCCGGTGCCCCTGTACACGGTCCCCAGCTGGGCGCCCGCCGACGGCATGTACACGGTGTTGGGGTAGGCGGCGTCGGCAGACTGGCCGAGGGGCGCACCGTCCGCTGGGTCGCTGTACAACAGCAGCGCCGCGCAGCCGAACTGCTCACATAGGTACGCCTGAGGGGATGAGGGGGGGGGGGGGTCAATGGAGGGTAGGGGCTAAACAGCGCCGCGCAGCCGAGCTGCTCATATAGTTCATAGGTACGCCTGAGGGAGGGGGGGGGGGGGGCGGGATCACTAGGAGGTAGGATTGGGCAGTGCCGCGCAGCCGAACTGCTCACATAGGTACACCTGAGGGGACGAGGGGGGGGGGGAGCAATCAGTGGAGGGTAGGGGCTGAACAGCGCTGAATGAACGAAAGGAAAAAGTGCCTCTACATTTGCTCATATGGAGGCTAACAGTCACGATGCTTACCTTTTGCGTACTTTCAATGATTGTATTCAATATAAAGAAAATTCATGAGCCTTTTATTTCGCCTTTTATTTTATTTGCTATACATTTGCATCGGCCGGCGCCCTGATTGGGCTTTTGAAGTAGGCGTAGTAGGCGTACCTTATTCCCTCGGAATATTTTGCCGTATCTCGCGATGACAATGTGGTCCTTGAGTGATATGTTCTGCGACTGCAGATATAGGAAGTCCTCTTCGCGGCCATAGTTGACGTATATGACCTTTCCCTGAAAATAGATGATCAAAATTATATCACCACTGTCCGTCCATTAAAAAAGCGTTGAGCTATTGGGTGTCGGCATTTGTGAAAAAGAACGATGTAATGCGAACTGTGACATTCTACGGCATATACGCTTATATTTTGAATAAAAATAAAAATAAGTCGTCATAAATACATAAATAAATAAATGAATAAATAAACAAATAAATAAATAAATAAATAAATAAATACGTAATTAAAGAAATAAACAAACAAATAAGTACATACATAAACATTGCTAAGTGCGTGCAGGTCGTTGCATATGTGCCGTTACCCCAAACACAGTAGAAGTATTCTGACCACGCTACCCCACCACAAGAACACCACTCCGCCAGGCCGTGACTCACCCTCCATCACGCATGACACTAAGTTACCGTCCCCGGACCCGCCGGCGGTTACCTGCGCCTGTCCGGGCGCCGAGTAGGCATTGAAGTTTTGTAGTACGGACGGGTCGCGCTCCTCTGGCGAGTGTAGCGGCGGCTGGTGGGTCTGTGCGGTGAACACCGCCTGGCCTGTCTCGTCCACCACACGGACCTGGAGACGGGAGGCACCGTGTCAGTTGGGGGGCGACGGTCGCAGATAGTTACTCAACGAGGGCATTCACGCATACACAGACGCGACAAAAAGAACGCATCACGTACGCAAGCACGCAGTACTCTTTATTATCAACCTGAAAACAACTGGAATTTGGCGGAAATCTGGAAATTGGCGAAGGATTTTCAAGGTAAGGCGGTACATGAATTCCACTGCAGACTGCCGCAAGATCAAACTCAGGCTGCTCCAATACTTCCTATTGGCCTATGGTCAACACAAGGTGTCAGCGCACAACATTAATTGATGGTTGGTGGCGGTATGCCAGCTTGATGCAAAACAGGTGTGTAAATAGCTACCCCCTCCCCGTCAGGTCTAGATCAGAACGCGCAGTGCCGTTGCACTTCAGTCGCCACAACGAACACTTTTTGGCACATACTCCGACAGGTGTGCGGATTGGAAGCCCTGGTCCCCTCCCGCTCCCCCGCCAATGTCACCATGTCTACCACTGCCTCTCCCTCCTCACCAGGTTGGGGTTCTGACCGTCCGGGTAGGAGAGAAGCACGTCATACCGCAGCTCCTCCACCCGGTCCAGGCCCTGGGCGCGCCACGTGTCCGCCACGTACTGGGCCAGACGCTCGTTCTCGGGCAGCCCGGCCACGTGTGGTCGCCGCGTCAGCTCCCTGTGGTGGGTGATACCGGTAGGCGTCAGACACATGGGTGAACGGAAGGTGATATCGGCGACATGTTAAAGACACAAGCCTGATAAAAGTTGTACTCGGTCAGTCTAAAAGAACGTCACAAGCAAGCTGATAATGCCTGAGATATTGTTGAAAACTTATTTGATGTGCAATATTGCTATTCAAGTGATGATGGAGCAAAGGTACTCAAAATCACGATAATAATATATTGTTGAACATAATATCTATAGCATCGTATTAATCAAAAAGTCAATGTAGCAGGGTTCACAAGTGATTATTGTGACTATTCATTTTTTTCGGATATCATACGCAAGAACAGACATACAAATATGTACAATAACAATCATGCGTTGCTCAGCTGGTATAGTAAGATAATGCATCGAGCACAAAGCACACAAACATGCAATAACACTCGTAGGCATGCTTTTGGTCGCTCCCGCCGAGGCCTCGGGAGGGCCGGAAGGGCCTCCAAAGGAACACCTGTGGCGCTCGTTGGCAAGTCGTGGGTGGCATGCCCTTCACCTACCCTGGCGCGGCTGGCCATTCAGGCAGTGTGTGGTAGTTGGGTAAGGGCGTGTTAGTTTAGAATGCTGTACAAGAGAGGGGCTCAAGACGGTAAGGCACTGGTACCAAGGAGTTAGTACGTGGGACCGTGGGTACGATGGTGCACTCAAGTGTCCCGCGGTGCGCAGGAGCTGAGCACGTAGAGCTCCAAACAGACACACGGTCACCATCACAGCTCTTCACTATCCGCCATTGTGGACCCCGTTTAGCTTTCAAAATTGCTGTAAATTTGTGAATGAAACAACGAGCGCATACCTAAAACCCCTGCCTCATAATATTGTTGCATTGTTTTCCTCATCAATTTGACAGCAAAATCGGACTATCATAAGTCGCAACTCGCACTATCATCATCATAATCCTACGTGATCTTACGCTGCCCTTCTCGCGCATCTACAACCGACCACCATAATGAATAGTTGCATGCAAGCTGCAGATTCCTGCTGCTCCAACTGCAAAACAAACTTGCACACTCGTATATACACACGTAAATCCCGGACGTCCTTCAGACCAGGGCCAGCGGTCACTGCTGGCGCCCGGCCTAAATGTCACCTCACCGGGACTGCACACGGGCCCTTAGTATATCTCGACTGTAGCAAGCCCAGCCTTCAACAGCTCGCATCGTGCGTGAGTGTTAGCTGCTCCGTGTGACAAACATCATGTCTAGGATTAGAAATGTTTTAACTACTCCAATAAACAGATGACATGAATTATGAATGGGCGCCCAAAACTCCGCTCGGCGCGCTCCGAGTCTCTCGTACTCCCCCTTCCCTCTCCACCCCCCACCCCACCTGTCACTACGGACATAAACGCCGTCACCGTGGCGGCCAAACGCGTCACCAGCTCGGCGGGCGGTCGGCGCTTGTGTAAGCTGCTGTCGGGTCGGCTGTCGTCCGCCGCCACGCAACACAATCAACATACGGTCGCCGCGCCGCCGCCCCGGAGCCCGTGGTGCCGGTGGTGCCCGCAGGTGGTGCTGGTGAAGGTGGTGTGACAGTGTGTGTACGGGTGGTTTAGCCGGCGTATGCCGTCCGGCGGCGCCCCGCCGGGATGAGACCCAGCGGCGACCCCGCCTGACCCGCTCAGAGGACGTCGAAGAGCTCCCAGCGTCACAACGAATATCCGACATATAAAAGGATTAAAGGGTTGCAAATATGCAGGATACGATCTTCATATTTTTTAAGCAAACATAAATGGTGGTGGGAAATCAGTGAGCCATTTTAAATGACACTTATTTGTAAAGGAGCTCCGTAACGATCGTGTCCCTCACCTACAGTTTAAATGCCTCATGCTAAGATACGGCTACAGACACAATTTATTCCATCGGTAGTCAGGAATACACGAATAAGCCCAATTAGTTTCAAGCGTACGGGGAATCGGCGTGCAAAACACAAAAATACATGCCGATTGCAAGAACAGGCATGTCTTCTGCCGAGCTGCAAACATAAAAAAATCAACGGGGCCACTGCTGCTAGCGCAAGCTTCCAACATAAAACAGCTTCGCTTTACTGAGCGGAAACGTCGAGCGAGCAACAAAAGAGCGGAGTCTACAGCAGACCAGTGCTGACTAGCCAAAGTCCTTCCGGTCAGCGCGAGGGTCGAGCAGCGTTCTGGCGAGCTGGTTACCTGAGGAACCGACCCAGCGAGCTGGCGTCGATCTTATCCAGCAGATACTGGGCCGCCTTGGCGTAGCGGCGGGAGTTCGAGCCGCTTGTCGATTCTCCGCGAAAGGCGAACCGCCCCAGCAGAACCCCTGACAGCACCGGGAAACGTGCTGGTACAGTAACCCATTCAACGGAACCCCTGATCAAGACATGTGCTGGTACGAAGAAACTACTTGTTTACAGTGGGGCTACTTCTTCTCGTGAAAGGGACTGTAATAAATCAATTACATCAACGATGAACATCATACAGAAAAGTACCACAAAACAAACAACGCCTGCCAGAAGAACAAACCTGACGTGACGGACACAACTACAACTAAAGTCACCGTGCTACAACTCACAGATATGCACAAATGCTACGGCATGACTATGCTAGGCTTAATTCGAAAAGCGCAGCACATGATATAGGCAAATGTGGTATGTTGGGACGACACACTGGCAATTACACCAGCCAGACAGATATGCTATAAACCAAAACACAATCAGCGATCTGAGCAGGCTATGCCGATCACTGAACAGTACAGCAAATTAAGTTACACACAGACCACGGAGAGACAAGTACGAAAGATCACGGCAAGTATGTGTGCAAGGGCGATAGTTAGCGAAAGTGTAGTTATACTTGCGTGAGCATGACACGAGCTTGTGCCGGAAGAGGTATAACGGACTTCGAAAGGGCGGTGAGGATCAAGAGTTTCTTGGATTACGCGACATTGATTCTCCTTCATCGACCAAACCTTTGTAAAATGGAGATTGTGACGATTATGTAATGCCAGGGTTGGCAGGGGGTGGCAAAAACTGGTTTTTGCCAGTGGTTTTAACCGGTTTAAACCGGCTGGCAGAAACCCCGGTGGCAAAAACTGGCAAAAACTGGATAAAACTCAGGTGGGCCAAACCACAACTTTTCTAGTTAGGAATGGATCTGAAATGTACAAATGCATTTCTTGATGTTATAGAGATGCACCAAACATTCTGAAGTTTGCCTCATTACTTATCCCTGCTTAAAATGTCTATGCATGTCAGTAGGCATCCACCACAGAATGTATTTCCATGTAGGGGAGTGGGGCAAGGCTGCCTAGGGTGCAGTGCGCATATCAGTGGCAGATACCCCTTCGCACTTCTGATTGTGCAGGACTCACTCTTGCACTGGCTCATTTGTCACCCCCAAAAGGCGCCTTATGGAAAGCCCATGAAAATGTTTTTGAGTTATAGAACACTTCAACGGTCAATGTCACTTCTGGTTGAAAGCATAAAGCTTTCACCGAATTCTCCTAAAAATGTTTCATCTTTAAATCCATGTCTAGGCATATCATTGTGCTGGTTTTTAGTTTTTGCCACTTTTTGCCGGTTAAAACCGGTTTAAACCGGCAAATGGCATAAACTAGTTTTTGCCGGCAAAAATGCCAACCCTGTGTAATGCTTCACAGTTCACACCTGATCTTGGCATCGAGCTACTGACTACAACAAGCCAGTTTGAATACTACAGCCCCGAGACCTAATCGTTTGCACCACGCTATTGCATTACCGACTACCTGACAGGGCAGAAGACAGCCCGAACACCAGCTCTCCCTTGTATCTGACAGCCGAGAAAACACGTCCGACAGAACAGAGTTATTTTTCGGTGACCTTCTCACCCCAAATACCTGTCGAGGTGGCTAACCACCCTGTCTGTCTCACTGACAGTTTGTTTCGACAGGAATGTGTGGGAGGTGGACGTTGGCCCATACCCGGCCACCGGACACCACCAGCCGGCATCTGCGGAATGATCGTCCGCCGCAGCCGGTCCAGCGCGAGCGGCCGGCCGCGGCCAACAACAATACACAGACGGGGCACCGAACACAAACCGTGTCAGCCGGCTACACATGGGACCATGACCGACCGACCAGCGACAACAAACTCGTTAGAGCGTAATGATGAGTTTGATGAGCCAATGACAGCTGGTTAGGATAAGATAAACAACAAATTCGCTATACCGTAATGATGAGGTTGATGAGCTAATGGCACCTGGGTTAGGATAAAATAAATGACAACAACGAAGTCGTTATATCGTAATTATGAGTTTTATGAACCAATGTCAGCTGGTTAGGATAAAATAAATGATTAAATGAGATGTTCAATGATAATGCATTAAACCTCGGTTTGACAATATGTAAGAAGATAGCAACGATAAAATATTTGAAAAACGAGCGATGCCTACTTATCAACATCCAGCTATCCTGTCCTTTTTCTCCATAGCAGCTGGTTTCAAAGAAGTCATAGATGGATACCACCGTCAGAGCAGCCACCAAGTCTGTTCGCCGCCGGCTCTTGGCAGACGGGCGGGAGTAGGGAGGATGCGGCAAAACATCTCGAGGCCGGCTCTCGGACAGCAGAGACAGATTTAGACGACCCGGCGGCGGGGTCGCGGCCCACCGGAGAATATATCGGTGTCTCCGTCACACCGTCTGAGGAGAGCCAAGTGCCGGAGCGTCTGCCACCGGGACCCAAGACCGGGACCACCAGCGGAGCGCCCGGTGACGGTTTGGTGGTGGACGGAGAAGGGCACGCTATGCCACGCTCCGTCTTGAAACCAGCAACGAGCTTCGTCTCGTAATGTCGATGCAAGAAGTGCTAACTGCCCAGTCATTTCGCTCAGTCCCGCCGAAAATGGTGAGAGTGAGCGGCACTGAAAACGGTAGCGACTCTCTGACATTGAGCAGCACGGCCAGCCAGATACCGCAGTCACAGCCCCTGCACCTTCATAGCTCTAGCTCATATATC